CGCCCCCTGGTGGACACTAGAGAGAATGCAAGTTTTAAGACACTTCCGCATCTGTTTCACTCTGCAGAACCGAGGTTGTTGTCTGGTCTGTACGTACATGCCGTCCTCTGCTGGCGTCCTGTCCTCCGGTGACGACTCTCCGGGTTGCGATCCACCGTTGGACCAGCGCGACGCTTCCCGAGCTCTTCGGCGCTGCTCCCTCTCCACCTCCTCAGCATCCTCAACGCTCCTCTGAGCCGTCAGCCTGCAGACAGAAGAGGACACAGTGAAGTTAGAAGATCAGCTCTAATCCAGGGCTGCACTCAAGTTAAACTCAAATGTTTCTCCATTTATCATTTTTCCATATTTCTGAGCAAAATATTGGATTCGTGGTTTCTACCTCTTTTTGTGATTACAGATTTTACGTTCAGAGAATATTTATCATGAGATTATTATTGAGCGTTTATGAGGATTATCAAACGTGATCTCATGGGAAGGTGAAAGAGTGCATGAACATTGTAACACAAGTACAGAAAACACGTCAAAATGTCACTTCAAAATAACTCAACACTTTGACACGAGCAGCACCCTCCTGAGTGAAAGTCCCGTTTGTTCAAGCTTGGCTTCATCAAGCGCACATCCATATCGGCACTTCCGTAGTTATTTTAACCGAAACTATAATATTTTTCTAAACCTAACTAAGTTTCCTGTGAAGACGGAAATACCTTTTTAAAAGACTGTATTCACGTAACGAGCGGCTTTGACGCGTGTTGCTGGGCTTTTGCAGGAAAACACACGAAAAATGAGGAGAAACGTTTGGTAAGATGTCATAAGAACCGCTGTATGAAGGTACGTTGCTTAGTTTGACTTCTCAATCCACTCCAAGTAGACATTGAAGAGTCAAAAACTGATCTTCAGCCATTAGACAGCTCTTCATTCAGCTCTTTATCTGTCACGTAACTTGTGTACTTCTGTGGTCCTTTTAACCCAAACCACCATCTCCTCCTAAAACTAACCGAGTACTTTTGTTGTCTAAACATGACGAAGTTGTTTTTTAAAGACTTTATTCATGTAACGAGCAGAAATTTACTGTTAAGATGACAAATAGCTGGTTTTGTTAACAGTTCAGAACTCTAAAATACTCAGTTTACAGTGAAATAAAGCAACAATAATCACATTTAAGAAGCATAAAGATTGTTGTTGCTTAAAAAAAATGAATCATCCATCAACTTTTTACAATATCTACAATCATTTCTCTGCAGAATGTAGTTTTTTTACTGTAAAAGCTCAGAAAACAGGCAAATAATTGAAGTCGTCTCTCAGCTCGATGACACAATCCCCCAAAATCCCCCAAAATCCCATCACTTCATCTCTGACTTCTACTTGTAAAGAGTACTTTTCCATTGTGGTTCGTGGGAAACTATAAAAGTTTAAAATGGGAAACATTTGTCAGGAATCACACGCAACACAGTGTTGAAACAAAGACTAAGTGAAGGCAAGAGGCGGCTCAGATCCGACCTGAACAACATCTGCCAAATGTTTATCTGCAGGATGAACGCAGCGTCGCTCCACAGTATTTATTACACAGTTAATGTGTTCATCCAGAGGAAATGTACCAAACATGAAGATATGAATCCATGAATCCTCTCGACGACGACAGCTTTAATCCAAACACTTCAGCCGTACATGGTGACGTGAAGCAGTCATTTGTTCACTTTAAAACATTTTAATGTGTGTTTGATCATTAATATCTACATTAGGAGATGTGACTTTTGGAAATAGAGGATTTCTGGTTTGGTTTGAAACATGTTTTACATCTCAGTAACAGATCAGCATTGAGAGAATAGTTGTAACCACATGATGAGCGGATCCCCGTTAGGTTTCAGAGGCTTATATACCAACAGAAGCAAGAAGACGCCTGCCAGCTGCAAACTTAGATCTCTGAACTACATTTGTATTGTTTTTACAAACAATAGAAATAGAAGTAAAGAGATTCAACATGTTGAATCTTTTGTTTACAAAAACTCAACTGGGAGCTTTTAATAAACACTTTTTTTCGTTTATGTATTTTCCTACAAAATTCCAGCAAAACGTGTCAATTTCCACTTGTTACATGAATGCAGTATTTTCAAAATAAACTTCCGTCTTCACAGGAAAACTTGATTAGGTTTAGGAAAATATTTTAGTTTGGGTTGAAATAACTGGAAGTGACGTTACTTATGTACAGAAGTCACGTGATAAATAAGTCAACAAGCTGGTCAGTGGCTTATGTTGACGCCTCAGTGGAGACGCTTTCAGGACTAACGGCTCAATAAGATCCATCTGGATGCTCAGGTGTCCAGTTACTGGACTCACATGTGGCTTCTGGGTCACCAACAGATCCCCAACGGCTCCATCTGGTCCTCCACTTTCTTTAAGAGGGGGATGGAGGAAGGTCGGACACACGGTGACCTCAGACCCTCATCACCAGATTCATAAATGACAAAAGTCATCATATCCTGCAGCTCCTCACAGTTGACAGCTTTTATCACATTTTTAAATGTTCTTCATTTCTTTTGTATTTTCAAAGTAATTATTCTGAACTAAACATGACGAGTTGCAGAAACAAGCACCAGGTTTAGTTTCTAGCTGGTGGAGGAGACGTTAAAGATATGAAACAGGACCGGATCGTTGTTAGACCCACTGAAAAAGCACAGAGGTCTGCTGCTGATAACAAGACCACTTTGTCAGCATCAGCATCACTTCCTCCTCCGTGTGTCTCCGTCCTTCCTGAGAGGAAACAAATGAAGGGACAGAGGTGGAGAGGCCGGAGGACAGCTGGATGAGGGTCAGAATCTCTGTGATGGAGGATGGGAGCAGCAGAGAGGCAGCGGTCACTACGCCAGGACGGGATGTGCAGCTACAGAGACAGCTGACTTTCAAAATAAAAGCTTCTTCTCAGGTAACATACGTCTAAGATGTGTTTAGTGGTGGAAGACCTTTGTTTAACTAGTTGTGAATCAATCTCAATGTAGTATTGCTGGACCCGCTGGAGGGAAGGGAGGCACGAGAGAACCAGAACCAGGACTGAGAGGGGCAGACTGTCAGACCCTGCTGCAGTAACATGAGAGGTTTTCTAAAGGGACTATGGTACTCAGAAACACTACCACTTTAGTCCACAGGGGGTGACAGAATCAACATGAAAGTTCCTTCGAGTGACTTTAAGTAAAATTATTATCAGCAAAATGTACTGAAAGTATCAGAAGTAAAAGTACTGATTATGCAGAATGGCTCCTTTATTACAGAATATTATAATATTCTGTTTTTATCACCGAAAGTCGCAAAATGACATACATCACTTCGCTAATTCTTGCGATGCTTTTGGATAGTAAATGTGTTCTTCAAGCTCATCTGTTTGATTGGAACGGATTTTTCAAGATTCAAGTAAGTAGAATCCCTTAAATACAAATCAAATATTCTGTTGTGAAACGACAACATTGAGAAGGTGGAGGTAGGAGGTCAGTGAGGTCAGTGAGGTTGAGGTTGTGCAGGTGTTTTTCTCTTGTATTGTACATTATACATATGATGTAGTGTTCCTATGTGAGCCAGCGGAGCGTACGGTGCATAGATACGGTCTCTGGTTAGTTCACCCTCCGGGTGTTAGAAGCTGCCGGACTTCGAGCCAGCAGGCCGATTGAACTCTCGTTCCGTTTCCTTTCTGTAAACAGCGCTGGAGGATTCCGTCAAGCTCGGCCTCTCGACTCAAACGTCCGATTCAGACTAAACCATTACCCCCCGACTTTTACAGTACCAGGAAAACTGGCAGCTTTACTTCCTCATCGTCCCGTGTTTCATCAACATCTTCCTCGCTCGAATCGTCTGATCATCAAAAAAGAGACAATTAACGACATGCTCAGAACACTTTCACTTCCTCAGCGGGAGTCGAGCCGGTTTTATGTCTCTATGTAAACCGACACCAGAGGCAAGACTGAACACGCTGCCTCCCAACACGTCCTCAGATCAAAGGCTGACGACATGCCCTTGAGCCCCGGAGGTCAGAGTGATTGACATGAAGGTTCAGACCGTCGCCTGAGCCGAGGACTCGACGCGAGGGAGCAGAGAGACGAGAGACGTCTAGATTTAATGTAAAGAAAAGGCTTTTATTTTGGTCTCTCATGAGCCGTGTTTCCATTCATGTATTTTTATGAAGTATCGCGTTAGAAAAGCTGCAAGGCTAGCAGTCAACCCCTGCTTCCAGTCTGTGTGCTAAGCTAGGCTAGCAGTTTCCCCACATCTAACTTTAAGAAAATGAAAAGTGATACCCTAAAAAGCCGGCCTGTTTTTTTTTTAAGGAACAAACAGCCTTCCAGTGTTTTGGAGACACGGCTGGTTGCTAGCAGATTTGCGGCCACAAAGCCTTCAATAATTCAGTTCTGTGACCACCAACATCAGAAGCAACCACCAGAAACACGACACACACACCGGATAAAAGAGCTGCACCACCTGCCAACACACCACCTCCACCACATACTGTGGTCCTCCCACTGTCTGCACTTGTTCAGGCCTTCGGCTTTATTGTCCGCCGACGTCTGAAGACTGAAAGAGGGATTCACTGTCGGGAGGAGAACAAGGTGAAAAGTATTATCTGCTCTTTTGTGAGTACACATGCTGTCAGCGCAGGGATGACTCGGTTGAATGACACAATAATAACACGGCTTGCTTTCAGCCGGGGGGACAGACGAGGACGGTGGGAAGACGTTTGTGAGATGAAGTCACCGTTGTGTTGAGACAAGTCGGGGCAGCGACTCAGATTCACTGAATGACTCTCACAGAATAAACGACAAAAAGACGACACTTCCCAGAAAGTAAGTCAGTGGACGAGTGAGAGCAGATCTGTAGTCAAACCGCTGTCAGAGGTAAATGAATACGTCTCACAGGTTCTGTGGCTGGTTTAAAATGAACAGCAAAATAATACGTTTTTAGCACGCAGGTCCAGCTTTGGTCTATATTGAAATATTTTCAACATAACAATTTTATATATTTCCATTAAATTAGACAGACATTCATGGTTCCCAGATGACGAACCCCACTGCTTTTGTTCATCCCGTGACTTTTCCTTCTTGTTGCTTTTGATGTTTTATGTAAAACAGATTTGAAATGCCTTGTTGCTGAAATGTGCTACATAAAAAAAAAAAAAAAAAAAACTTGCATTGATGGTTTTGTTTTTGAGTGAAATGTCTCAGCCACTACTTGATTGATTGCCATTAACTGTCATACAGACATTCGTGGTTCCCAGATGACGAATCCCTCTGATTTTGTTCAGAGCTGGAGACATTCCCATCAGTCACAGCTGTACTTGTTTATTGCTAATCTGCAATTCTAGCAAATTCCCTTTTACTTGCAAAGAACTTTATTTAGAAACGTGTACTTCCTCTCTCTGGGTAACGAGTATCACTATTACACAACGTTTAACCGCGACGAGCTCCGAATCCACTAAACCAACATGAAGAAGATGAAGAACGTCTGTGGGGCAGAGCAGATAGTTGTCGGACCCCGTGATTGGCCAGTCTGTGTTCAAGAGGCGGGGCTTAGCGAAGGAGGAATTGTGCTGAATGTCACAATCTGCTCATCTCGAAATACTGAATCAAAAACACATCTGTAGACTTCTGGGACGTTTAAAAAGCTTCTTTAGTTCAGAATAAAAGACACTTTCAAGAAGAGATTCTGGTCAGTTCATTGGTAATAATTGGCAGATTTAATAACAAGTATTACGGATTTCTCTCTTTTCAGCGACAGCAGAGGAAACTTATCATGATAAGGGAAAGAAGTAATGCAATAGTCAGTCAGTCAGTATATTGCTACATTACAGCACAAAAGCAGTCAGACTCTCGCTGTAATGACCAGAAGTCCAACAAACCCCCCAGAGACTACAGGCAGACGGTAACCCCCCTGTTACTGTTATGGCTGCATGTCTGGGTGTCTGACCCCCCCCATGCAGAGCATGAAAAGGGCTCCAGATCCCTGAAGTCTGGAAACCCTGCAGGTTTGTTTGACTTCAACTGTGAAGGACAGGAAGAGATGTGCAGTCAGAATGACCCGACAGACCTCGTTCCAAAGAGGACGACAAACAAAACTGGGTTTTTTTTTAGATCGAGAGAAGTTTAAAAGAAGTTGTCGAGCATCAGGGCAGATGATAACGAGGGCATCTTTCTCTGGGAAGTCCAAAAGAAAACAAACTTTGAATCCGAAGCTTTATTTGTCTTTTAAGACGTCAAAAAATGAGAAGCGAGCAGAAGGTGGAGAGGTGAACGTGAAAGTATTCTGGTTCATGGTGAGCGCAGAAATGTTGGCTGCAGTTCCCACATTAGTAATAATCCCATTCAATGAATAGTTCACCCAAAAAGTATAAATCGTGACCTGTAGCACTCACATTCCTAAAATCTATGGTCAGAAAAAGTGTTTCCATCGATGGCGTAAAAATAAGAACGAAAGACAAACATTTTTGGCAAATTATTGCAAAACTGATCATTTTCAGTTGACGAATATTTTGCGTGTTTACTCGTAGGAGGGTCTGCAATTCAATGCACAAGCATAGCGTAGCACAGATGTGCTAACACTAGTTAATGATGCGCTAACGTATTCTGCTAATGTTAGCTCCACGGGTTTTCAGGTAGAAACGTAACGTTTTAGAAACGTATACATCTCCTTCAAACCTCTCCGGCTAACGAGGATCACTACAGCGTGGCGATAGCTGAGAAACCAATTCATCAGAAGATGAACAGAACCAGAGAGGGGAAACAGGAAGCGCCACTCTGTTTACTTTCCCTCCATCCTTCTGATGCAGACAACCAGTGGGGGGGGAGTTCATGGGTTGCCCCCAACACTCATCGGCTAACTACACCCCCCCACCACCCCAAAAACATTCCTCAGCCTCTTATCTCCCCGTATCGTAAACACCGAGGACACCCGGCCTTTCGTGGGGGGGGGAGTCAGGGGTCAGAGGTCGCAGCAGGTATGCCTCCTGATGACATCACCCACAGAGAGCTGATTAAAAACAGCCGTGCTGTGTGCCGGCCTTGAACCGCCGGCATGAACGCCACCATCTGATAACAACATGTTTTAGATACTGTGAGACTGTAAAGAGGACGATACACAGGACAACACAGCAGTATCAGTGTGGTAGAAGTACTCCTTTACTGCAGTTAAAGTACTAATACCACACTGTAAAGAAAAGGTCATGAGTTCAAAACTTGAGTTCAGTAAAAGTATTGATTGCTCAGTAAAATATTTTACTTTTATAAATGTTAAAAGTACAATATTTACCTCTGAGATGTCGTGGAGGAGAAGTAGAAAGTATGAAAATACTCATGTACAAGTACAGTATTTTAGTAAATGTACTTATTATCATTCAACCACTGAAAATACAGCCACAGTGCTGATGCTGTTTCCAATGCTCAGCATCAACACAACAAAACTGGTCATGTGACTTGGCCACATCCCCAAAATATGTTGAAAACAAAGGCAGGTGGTGCAACAAGAGTAAAGCTGTTCTAGAAGAAGACATCTGGTCGAATCAATGAGCACAAATAGAAGGAAGCGAGAAGCTATGAACGCTATCAGGGTGTGCAAATCAAACGCCTCTCGTTCATCACCTCTAGTGGCTTTAATGCTGTTAATCTGAAAAGGAACGTTAGCTGAAGTGGTGCAGAAGTATAAAGTGACAAAAATGAGATACTTTAATACAACTACCTTAAAAATAAATAGTAAAAACTTGCCTTAAAAAGTCAACAAAACATTCAACTTTTCCACCAGATTAATTTACATTATTTAGCAGAAAGCTGTCAAGTAAAAGGTCCAAAACCACAAGTATAAAAACTATGAAAGGGTCATTTTCTAATGACAATAATTAAACAAACTGGCTGTAATTAAAACAGTTTCTAAGCAGCTGGAAACATCCTGCAGCACCAAACTAAACTCCTTTAAAAGCCTAAAAAACGGTGAACGAATCACGCCGTCTGATGTTCAAACACGTCATGTTTTTAGAATGATGTCACCGCCGTTCCTCCAGAGCGACGCCATCTGCCGAGTTCATGAATCACAGTGAGACACCGCCTCCTCCAGCTGCTATCTGCTTCAAAAACCTCACTGTGACTCACTCATTACAACACTTCAGAAACTCTCAACCCACAGAGTCGTTCTGTGGAGACACGGAAAGTCACACCGATTCTAGTTTTAGGTTCAAGTCACACAAAGATCGACTGGAACTAAATCATTTTATCTGAGAGTAAATTTAGACGATAAGAAAAACCAACCGACGTTCATCAATCAATTTTCAAAATAAGAGACCAAAACACAATCAACAAATTATTATGGATGACACTTCCCATCAATGTCAAAAACAGCTGCTGGAAACTCATCTCTAGTTTTAGAGGAATCCTTTCACGATCTGAAGGCTTTAACAGGTGGAAATATTGACTCGCTGTGAGGCTTAGATGAAACATCAGAGGATCGTTAAAGTCATCGAGGTTCATCCTCTGAGGAAAACACGCCACAAACATCACCAACGTAACTTCAACATAACCAAAACATTTTGAGATATTGGAACACCACTTTAACACATATATTATGTGTTAAAGTAAGACGATAATAATAATATTATAAGTATAAAAGTAGTCTCTCACTTGCGATGCTACGTCTCTTCCCGTCGGCGTAGTATATTTACGTGTATGCAGTTACATTCAGTACCGACTACACGCCGTCGTTACTGCACGTTAATGTCATTTAAACACCGTTCGGTGCGAGCTGTCTGGGAACCAAAACATCACAGACACCTCAAAAGCAAAAGCAGGCTAGTTTCATCCGGCATTCATAGCTATTCTTAGGAAAAACAATGTGCTGGAATTAGTAGATATCCCACGAAATTATTTCATATTTTGCGACACAGGGCGGGGGGGGGAGCCGTTTGTTCCCCATGCGACACGTCAAACTTGATTTATTTGTAACTTAACTTGCGTACTTCAGTAACGGCTCATCTGTAGTTATTTCAACCCAAAATACGATTTTATCCGAAACCTAACTAAGAAGTTTTGTTGGCTAAACCTAACCGAGTCGTTTCCTGTGAAGACGGAAGTTTATTATGAAACGACTGTATTCATGTAACGAGCAGATATTTAACGTGTTGTTGGACTTTAGTTGGAAAACGCAGACTGTCTACAAGAAGTGAACGTAGTCATCGTGATGCAACTCATTGGTTTGTGGACTGAAGTTTTGAAGCCTCGAGTTCGGCGATTTCGCCGTCGCCATCTTGGATTACGGCCGTCGCCATGTTGTCGTTTTTTGCAACCAGTGAACAGGAAGTGACCATATTTGGACTGAGGATCATACGAAACATTTTAAAAGGATTTGTTGTGAAAAGACAAAAGTCCAGACAAAAAGACAAACGTGTTCTTGTTGTTTTACGACTTCTACGAAGGGTTGGTTGACGTCGACCAACCGGAGCACAGCCTGCTCAGGAGGACCGATGTCATCCCCACGTTACTCTCTTATCTCATCACAAACCACTGGAACCCGACACAGGATGAAATAAAACAGACAGGACGGGTCGCCACCCGAAAAACAAAAGAGTGACTCTGGTGACCTTTCACCTCTGACACAGGTCACCGACACCACTTCCCTCTCTGTGGAACCAGCCTCGGGCGTCCAGCTCTGCATTTATTTTAATCGCTAATACATTTAGAAAACAATTAAAGATTACCCAGCTGGAAATGGATTATTAGTATAGTTCTTTTGTTATGATTATTGCATGTGAGAGGAGGTTAAGTCGATTAAACCCCCCCACAAAACCCTGCGTGACCCAAAACACTCCCAGTAATCCCACTGTTCCCATTAAGACAAAACACACACATGAAAACACTCTTCATCCTGATGTGGACACATGAGATGCTTTGTTGTTGTTCTCCAGATCTCAGGAGTGAATTAGTTTCTTCTAAATAATAAAATAAAGGTTGTTTAACTGAGTTTAAATATTAACTTCTGTCTTTGTGTGAACAGAGAACGGATCGATCACATACCTCATCAGGTTTTGTAAACCCTGTTTGCTGGAGTTTCTCCTCAGCAGAGCGTTGGACATGTTGGCCTCTTTTCTTCTTCTTTTTCTTCTGCTACTACTTATTCTAGCTCTTCTTCTTGTCGTCTCCTGGTAGAAGCAAAAACAGATGAACTTCTTCTTCTATTCCGTTTCCAAGTCGACACTGTAGGCAGCTTTTCTGTCCTGCAGCCGCACCGAAGCCCAGACTGAGGAGAGAGTGTGTGTGTTTCACTGTTAAAGACTGCTCTGCTGGTTTCACACAAACACCTCCCCTGCAATGCTAGTTGGGAATGTCAGTGGTGCTCAGAGACTCCCTCCTCTTTTGGAGGCTGGGTTTCTAGTCATTACGCTGCTGCTGCCCTCCCTCCCACCCTCCCACCCACCCACCCACACAGTTTTCATTGGGGAGCTCAGAGGCCGGACATCTCTCTCCGTTTCTTTCTTTGCTGCCTCTCTCTGTTCTGCCGGGTCATGTGGTCTTCTTCGCTGAGGGGGAACGAAAGACGATATACAACCCCCCCCCCCCAAAAATAATAATCCACGACTGAACAATAACCGTCTCCTTGTCAACATTTGCCAAAGCAGCAGATTATCAGAAGACGTCCGTTTGTTATTTCTCTCCATTCACTAATAATATGTATCAATCATCATGTTTGTTTCTATTCAACTGTCTTTCAATTTTAAGAAAACTTTTGAAATGTATGAAAAATAATTCATTAAATTAGGTTTGTTTCCATCAACTGGTTTGGAGGAAATAAACTCGGCTCTTATTTTTAGTAATTGATCTTCGTCAAAAGTTCTCTCTTAATTTTGTCATCTGTTTCGTTATTTATTTAATGTGAATAAGTAAAACAAACGTACATGCGTACTTGGGTAAAGACACTTCTGTAGTTATTTTAACCCAAACAAGGATCTTTTCCGAACTAAATATGTCACGATCTTTTCATGAACCCAAGTATTTCACTATTCATCTAGCGAGTGGATATTGACGCATGTCGCTGGACTTTAGGGAAACGCAAATGTTCAGGAATGTTTCCTCAATCGAGCTGTTCAGCCAAATGTTGCTCAGGTTTATAGAACTTTACTTTAAATTGTAGTGACAAACCAAACATAGTATTTATTATGGAATAGTACATTTCTTGAATATATAATTGATGGGACTGTGCAGCCATAAAAACAGAATTATTTTCTGCGTTTCTTTTCAAGCAGAACAATATTTATTGTAATAATGTAAACGTCGCCTCTGAAATGATAAAGATCCTCTTTAATCTCGGCGTGTGACATGCAGCTCGTTACGTCTTTGTCTCTTCGCTGCCTGAGGCCCTCAAACACAACGCTGTTACCACAGTAACCCACTCATCGCCATTCACCCCTGGAGTGTTGGTAAGCCTTGCTCGGTGGCACGTCAACAGACAAAAGGGCATTCTGGGAAGGAATTCATGGCTCGGACGCCCTTCTTGCTCGTGCTCATAAAACAGAGCTGCTGTTTCCAGCAAACACGGGCTGACCTGAACACAACCTCGACACTCAGACGCTCTGAAAACAGACAGCAGCTGAACTTCCTCCAGCTACGCTCACAAAATACATCTCATCTTCATATAGTTACAATAAATGTTTGTCTAAGAAAGAAACACGGATATGATGATCTGATGACGAGAGACACGGCGCTGCTGCCTTCAGGGGAAACCGGTGAAGCCACAATGCTGAAGTTACAACTGTAACTTTACAGCAGTAAAGGATCTGAATACTTCCTCCATCACTATAAACTACTACTACTAAAAACTAGTTTATTATTAGAACTCTTGAGACGTAAGAGCCGATCGTCTGAATGATTTACTCGGCCTCGTGTTCTCTGCTCTGATTAAAGCAGAGCGACGACATTCAAACTAACTTTGACTAAACAAAAAGGAAACGTTGACGTAGCTTCAAATGTTCAGCTGTTGAAAGCAGAATCGGCGTCTGAAGAAGATAAAATAATGACTTAAATAACTTTACTCTACTGTGCTGTTGGAAGAGATGAACATGATATAGATTTAACTATCAATCGTTACTTCTTATTGTTAAGCCTGTAAATAATGATTTGCAGCTCTGAACTCGACTCCCTTTGTAACGTCACACGTCTGTTTTTATCTCCTCCAGCTTCTCTGCTGGAGAACAAACGTCTCCGTCCATCAGCAGAGAGACGCTCTCCGTCTGTCGCTTCGCTTTCAGCTCAAAGCAAACAGCTCGTTTGCTTTTCTGCTTATCAGCTGAGGTCAGGATGCAGCTCGGCCTCCATCAGCCCGCTGCTGTGGGACCTTTAAGAGCTTCCTTCAGGTCTCACGGCTGGATTTAAGGAGTTAAAGTCACAGCTCATCTGACTTTACTACACGACGACGTCTGAGAAGAGAAACATTTCTCTTTTTATTCCTGTGATCACATGACAAGTTCATTAAATCCCCATACAACTGTCAGTGTGCTTCAAACACGCGTTTGTACCGTGTGTTGTTGGTGGAAAGTAACTAAGTACATTTACTGAAGTACTATACTTGAATATTTCCATTTTCTGCTCATTTATACTTCTATTCTATTACATTTCAGAGGGAAATGTACAGCCGTAGCTACGAAGTACTTCATAGATTAATATAGAAAACTGTGTCTAGTTTGTTTTCTCCCGCTGAGCTTCTCACACGGTTTTATTTTAATAACTGTTTGAAGCACAAAGAGGCTAAAATTATTTTACAATAACGCCAAGATTGAAGAATTAGTTTGTGTGTCAGAACTTAGTGCTTTATCTCATGACCCCTGACCTTTGGAGCGGCCCGACCCCTAGGTTGGGAACCACTGGACTAAACTAACTGTGTATAAAGTAATTGAAAGTATCTCAGCTACAACAATAACATGCTGCTCTAACATTGATGCTCCTGTATTCATTTTAAATGCAGGACTTTGAATCGTAATTTCAGCCTAAAGTTAGTTTAGAGCTCGTTGGCTTCGTTACGATGTCGTATCATCATGCTGATTAATTACTGCGTATAGTGGACGAGTATGGAGTCATAAGAGTAAAATAAAAAACAAATCTCAATGATTATTGAAGAAGTTCTATAAATCTTTTATACACAAACTTCATACTTGGTATCTGTGGAAACTTAAGGCATCAACAAATGTAACTTTTTCTTGAAGTTTGATTCTCGAGGCTCAGCTTCTGAACTTCAACAGTTTTTCAGGTTAAAAAAAGAAAAAGAAAAAGTCTGTTTTGCTTGTTTGAGTAAAACCGGATTAAAGCTGCAGCTCATTGCTGCAGATCTCCTCCCTCCTCCACTCAGAGCGCTGACCTGCAACCCAGAACGTGTTCGATGCCAGAGCCGCTCTCATCACCTCCCACTCAGCGGCCAGAGATCTCCTCTCCCGACACCGAGAGCCCAACAACACCGACGGGTGAGTTTAACTTTACCCGCTGGAGTTCAGTCACAAGCCACTGGAGGACGGGAGTCAACGCGTCAGCAGGAAGAGATGTTAGAAAGACGGTTAGAGTGTAAAGATGAGAAAAAGTCTCTTCTTTTTAAAACTGCCGAAAAGTTCAGAAGCTGAGCCTCGAGAATTAAACTTCAAGAAAGAGTTACAATTTCTGATGCCTTAAGTTTCCAAAGATACCAAATATACATTTTGGGTATAATTGTTTTCTACAAAACTTCTTGAATAATCATTATATATCTCAGAACTTTATTTAGTACCAAAAGTACTCATTATGCTGAATAATATATTGTCATACTATTGGTTTCATGATTATTAATCATAGACCTTATATACAGAGTGGACGTAGTCGTCATCCATAGGTTTGTGAAATGATGTTTTGAAGCCTCAAATTCTGCATTTTGGCCGTCGCCATCTTGTTTTTTTTGCAACCAGAAGTGAAACCAGGGTGGAGTTAAACGAACAACCGAATAAAACATTCATAGGCGACCAAAATGTTACTGTTAACTTTCATGAAGTGAAAACACTGAAAGAGTTAAAGTTGTGAGACGAAAACACGGACGACTCTCAGACCGGACAAAGTCGTGGTAGAGACCTGTCAATCACCGTGTAGCCCCGCCCTAAAGCATCCCCTGCTTTATGGTCTGTGTGACTCTAAATGGACCATAATGTACTAAATGAACATCATGCTGTATTGAAGAAGACTTGAAACTAGAGATTGAGACCATAAACTCATGTTTACAATGTTTACTGAGGTAATAAATCAAGAGAGAAGTAGAGTCATTTTCTCATAGACTTCGATACAACCAGAGGAGTCGCCCCCTGGTGGACACTAGAGAGAATGCAGCTTTAACACGTGAAGAACCAGAGGTTGCCGCCTGTTATTGATGCATTAATGTGTTCATCTCTTTAATGTTGCAGGAACAACAGAGAGTCAGCTGAGTATCTGAAGGATTCAGTTTCACTTCGGATGATTAAAAACGAGGAAAAGGGAGCTGACGAGGGCAAAGAGAGATGAGTGTACTGTAAACACAACGACAGTAACTCACTTATTTCATGCTGATTTTTGTGCTTCGGGCTTTTCTTCAACATGATCACTTTGTTGTTTTCTACCCGAGGCGGTAAATAAAGAGCGGCTGCCATGGCAGCAGAGATCCGCTGACACCGGACTCGTGATGAAACCGTCTCAGGACACAACGGTGGATTCTCACGTCTGCATGTGCAGTTTGTTGGGCAAGTGTGTAACTCATGAAAAACTGGAGAGAATCAGAGGTGGAAGAAGTACTCGCATGTTTTACTACACTTAAAGTAGTAATACTACAGTGTATGAATACTCAGTAAAAGCATCAATCAGCACCAAAAGTGAAAGTACTCAGAACAATATGATGTATATTATAATTAGTGATGGATTAATGTGTTCATCACTTTACAATTGGAGCTCATTATAATGACTTTATATAGTGCTGGTAGTTCAATCTATAATATTTCATAATGTATTATTTTATTGTATTTGGTTTTAATAAAAGAGATTGTTGACGTTTTCAAGAAGCACTTTTTATTTTTATTTTAAATGTAAAAATATGAAATGTAAGTGCAAAATGCATACCTTCTTTCTACCACTTTTATTTGTCTTATTCATAAATTAAGGTTTTCTGTTTTTATTTATTTTAAAATGTAAAACCATTTGAGCTACATCATCACCAGAATAGTATTATTATTATTATCTGAACAATCTCAAGGTGTCAGTAAAAAGTAATACATTTAGAAGTATATAAACAATAAAATATATTTATATAAATACATCGTAAACATATGTACAGCACTTGAATAGATTTAGTAAATAACATTAATAAGAAATAAAGTACTTAATTACTTTCCATCGCTGGAGAGAATCAAACAAAAATGATTTTACACATTACAAATGCTTGTCAATGCAATTAATGTGTTTAATAAAGTTATTTTTGAATGAACATATCAGAGTGATTTACTAACCTTGTAAATATCTGCAGAAGAAGAATCCAGACGTGAAGCTGAATCAGCAGAGTCCACTTCAAACCTTCTTCATGTGGCTCAGAATCAGAGCTCTGATTGACAGTTCATTGAACTCAGCTGTTCACCGCTGACAGAGACTCACACAGCTGACTCATGTTCACCTCATCAGAGAGAGAAGTAATTCATCTTTCATGTCTGACAACGCTCGTCACTCCAAATCTACTTCTGAATACCCAACGCTGGAAATCCTCTCAACACGAGTGTGTATTACTATTAAACAAAGTACACACGTGTAGTACTTTGTTCCCTCAGGGACCATGATAAGTGTGTTTACTTGTTCCCAAACTGCTTCAGCTGTGTGACCTTCAACTTACACTCAAGAAAATAAATCATTGAAGTGAACTAATGATGTTGAGTAAAGTTGACTTAAATATGTCGACTTCACCCGTTTAGTTTCTCCTTGTGTAAAAACTTCAGTATTCTAGTAAAATCAACTCATTTGGGACGAGAGTGTTGAGACCTTAGTTGTCCTCATGGAATCTTGAGGGATTTGTCTGCAGCAGCACGAGACAGTTATGCTCAAATGGCAGAGCACCTGAAGTAAACACGTACCTGGAGAACCGTAAAAAGCTGTGTTTGCGTGTTCGCTGTTCCTTCACGCTCCACCAGGTGTTTACTGCTCCGGTCAGGACGTCTGTACCGAGGGAGCGATGCAGCGCCGATGATCCCACAGTCAGGTGGAGGAATGTGGCCTCATTAAAAGCAGCAGAGAGAGCAGGAACGACGCATTCCTGCAGAGGGAGGTGAAGCAGGAAGCAGATAAAACATCCCGCACAGCCTTAATATGATTCAACCACAAACTGCAGTTAAACTGTAGGAAACAACTGCGAGGTTTGAATGAAAAAAAAGACGTTTTAAACCAAACACAGAGACAGATACAACTAAATGTAGTAAGAGCATCTTCACGAGAGCATTATACAGCTATCAGTGTTCCTCTCACGCCTCGTGCAGACCACACAACCTTCTTCATCATTCTCCCGTCCTGGAATCATTTCCCGTCGGACCGCCACTGATGCATCAATCCGTTGAACTCGCAAAACAAAGGGACACTGACAACTGCACTGGAACGGCTGTTCCAGTCGGAATTCAAAGTCCCTGAGGAAATCCATCGAGACCGACTGCACAGACGTAAACTGACCTGACGTCACAGCGGCAAGGCTCCAGACCTCCTCCCGTCTGATTGGGTGCCTGCAGATCCTTTCACTTGAATTCTCTTTGCTAATGACGCCATCGCTGTAATCAATGTCGGCCCCTCCCGCTGGTCTCATACAGCTCCAGTCAGCTATACCAAAGTCATATATATATATAATATATCCTATGAAATCATTTCCTATGTTGTCTACTTAATCTCCAACGGCAGGGAGATGGATGGATCTCTCCTCCAAGTTCGTTCTCCGTGTGAAACAAGAAGTCAACGTTTATTTATTAGTCACGTAACTTCAGCGACGGTACTTCTTTAGTTATTTTTAACCCAACAACAATATTTTACTGAAACTAAATAAGTAGTTTTGTTGAGTTGTTTCCTGCAAAGACGATAGTTTATTTTGAAAAGACTGACGAACGTAAATCGACACGTGTTTGCTGACTTTTGTAGGAAGACGCATGAAAAACGAGTCGTAACTTCGTTGTAGGATGTCAAACGTTTGCTGTAGATGCTTGAGAGGCTTCGAGATTGTCAGACAAACATCGCTTTGCTGAGCAGATGCTTTTGGATGAATTTAGATCAAAAGTTAGGAAGTCTGAGGATGGAGGTCAAACATGGGACTTTCACCAAGGAGACCGATGTTTGTGTCTCGTGTGAAACCAAAAGCCCTGTAAATATTAGTTTACCTCTTTGATATGAATAAAGACTTTACTATTTGTTTTTCGAGATCACAATGCTGTTCAGCCACTTTGAGTGAACGAGCTGTTCTGTACATTATAAACCTTGTTCTGGTCACTTGATCCACGCTGCTCTTTGTGGACCAGAGAGACTCAGCTGGGATTGTGTTGATGAGTCATTAGTGGTTGAGGACCTGAATTATTCATCAGGTAACTGGGTCGACATGTAGCAACACTAAGATGACTGCATTTTGATGCAGGTCTGAATCCTTAAGCAGAACATTTATTATCAAATAACGATAAAAACATGAATAAGATTGTGTATGAACTCTCTCAGCTTTGTCTTTGTAAAAGCAGGAAACTTAAGAAAGTCTTATTTTAGGAGGATTCAGGTCCAACACGATCAGCATTAACTTACTGACTTTGTTTTAAGGTAACTTGTGGGTTTTCTAAGTAAGATGCAGCATTCAATCTATGTTTTCATTATTCACTCACTTCATTTTTGATGTTTGAGAAACCAAAGATTGTTGCACACAGATGACCACACACTAAACGTCGGGAGTAGAAGAACTGAAAAGAGTGGGAAGAAGACGGGTGTTAACATCAGAGTTTGGGCCTCAGGGCCTCCTGACAGCTTCCTCCAGCCTCTACTATCAGTCGTCTTATAGGACTCAGTTTCAGGGATGTCTTGTATCTACAGCTGCAGCTCTCTGGACGGTGACAGCGCTGTTTGAAACCTGGTCTCCGATGTGCAACCCCTGCAGGTTGGGTTGCGTTCAAGGGCCCGCCAGGTAACAAAACCAGTGCTCTCTGCAGAGGAGCGTGGGCTTTTGGTGGAATGCAGAATTCAGAAAAGAAATAAATCACCCATCCAGATTTGACAACAAGCGTGCAGAGAGGCTCAACAAGCCTGTGAGCTGAAAGTGAAACCATATGGGACAAACAGGGGGGAAGTTAATGAGATTTTGAGCAGGCACTAAATGTTATGGCACCCCTTGAACTTTAACGACGACCTCCAGCGGGCTGGACGTAATAACCCAAAATGACTTTACAGCCTGGGTTGGTTATGAGGACGTGCTTGGGTTACAGTGACGAGGTCTGCAGGGAGACGGCAGGACAGAGCGATAAATATCTGAGTCAGCAGAATGGAGATGGAAAATGTGAACGGACAAAAAGTAAAATATGAAGTGGTGGAAGAGAGAGAGAGGGCACGGGAGGAGCTTTGGACTGTGAGGCTGAAGTTAAACTAGAGAACAACAAGAAAGTTATAATTACACCAAGATGGCACAATCCAATACAATATTTAAAAAGATTCTGAAATATGCACCAAAAACTAATCACCTCAAACTTTCCACCAAATCATTTCCCCTCAAAAAAGGGCAACACATCCTGATATAACAATTCATATGGTATCTTACAAATAATACTGACATTTTTTGTGTGCTTTCCTCCAAAAAGTCCAACAATTTCCGCTCTTTACAGACAGATTATTTTGAAAAGACTGGATATATCCAGTCTTTTCAAAATAAACTCCTGGTTAAAGGATCGCTGGTTGTTAGACACATCCAACGCCTCTCCCACACTGCGATTCACAGCGCATTATGTATCGTAGCTATATCTACGAACAGCTGGATGAGACCAGCCTGCCCTGTTATGTGAAGTAAGAAGTGCTGCAGATCAACTTCAGCTATTTCTGCACAATATGATTCCTCTTCTATCACGCAAAAGACATTCACTTTATTCTCTTATACAATCAATAAAAATATTTTTAAAAGTACAACAATAACTACAATATATTGCACTTGACTTGCACACAATCCTCTAAAATCAACCTGAGCTTCTGTTCAGAGCTGGAAACAGAACAAACACGCCACCTAGTGGTCGTGAACCTGCAGGACGACCTCAAACAGCTGATCTGAGGTCTGTTTCAGCTCGTCTTCCTGCAGGAGAAACCAGCGAGGCTTTATAGTGACGTTCCTCATGTGTTCAGAACACATTTGTATTTTGTCCTGAAAAGCTCCAAATTCTAGTGGGAAATAGTCACTTCATCCTTCAGTTTATCACAAACATTCATCATCAACACATAAAGGAACACTTGATCCTTCAGTTTATCACAAACATTCATCATCAACACATAAAGGAACACTTCATCCTTCAGTTTATCACAAACATTCA